TTTTATACCTTTTCAATCCAAAGATACAGAACGATCATTATCATTCATTAGAAGCTTTGTTATGAATTTCGAGATTTGATTCAAGTAAATTCAAGTACTGAATTTAACGTACAGTTTTGTAAATATGATAGTAAATTTAAGATTTCTAAATCAATGATCAGTTGAAGATTTTGTTTTACTATGAATTCTGAACTAGTTACATTGGATCACTGAAAGATCAAACTGAAATATTCGAATCTGAACAAATTTCACTAATTCATATACAGTTACGTAATCATCAACTTTTTGTAAAAAAAATTTACCAACTTCCAAAGTAAATTAATTAATTACCATTGATATATATTGTTGAAGTCGCTGAAAACTTCCCATTATATTCAAACACAATTATATAGACGGAAAATATTCTTTTCAATAATTTCTCATCAGGTACTCTACAATTATCTCATATGTAAATTAATATTCCATAAAATTGATCAGATTTAAGGCAGAGTACATAATTTGGAAGTTGTAATATGTGAATCAAGAATTAAAACACGAAGTTCAGCGAATGGATCTCTTTTCAACGAATTTATTATCAAGTTGTACAATCGTATATATATGAAAATCTTGTTTTTGTAAAAGTACTAATTCCGTGAGGAAATGTGAACACAGTTAATAAAAAGGTTATAATACTAGATTATGTAATACGAATAATAATAATAATAGATTTAGTGAATATAATAAGATGATTAAAATGCTTCTGTCATAATAGTTAAAGGTCATAGAGATGTAAAAAATAAATAAGGTGATATGATGAGCATTTACGAATAAAACAATAAGAATATAAGACATAAGTAAAGAGGGGAATGCAGTAATAATGATAATAATAATAATAGGATAATCAAAATAATTAAGGCCAGGGTAACGATAACAATGAATTGTACTTCTTTTGTACGCATAGTTCTGGTTTAAGCTCCTGGATAGTAAGAGCTTAGGCTACCTTTAAGAGTTCGATACGAAGAAATCTAGGTAGATTTGAACGAATCATATAAACAACCTTAAAATCAAATTGTGGATCTGTAGGATGGTTACAGTCGATTAGGTGTTCAAGTATAGAACTTCTAACTGCTTTCCTTTCACTCTTATTATATTCACTAAATCTATTGTTATTATTCGTATTACGTAATCCAGTATTATAATCTCTTTATTACGTCATGGTTAATTGTGTTCACGTTTCCTCACGGAATTGGTACTTTTACAAAAAACAAAAAAATTTCATAAATATACGATTGTACAGCTTGATAATAAATTCGTTGAAAAGAGATCCCTTCGCTGAACTTCGTGTTTTAATTTTAATGTTTAAATGGGAATTGTCTGTCAATTGAATCAAGAATTGTTGTTTGTCATATAAAATCAAATTAAATCGTTAATGTTAATATGAAGTGCTAACTTGAATTAGTTTATAAGTGAAATGAAATTGTGAGATAAATGATCGGAATAAATATGGTCAACATGGAGTGAGAGAGAGAGAGAATACGAATTAGTCAAGAATTAGCAGATAGGGTTGGATGCTGAATCAATTTCTCAAAAAGGTTATCAAGTGTAATAATAATAATAATAATAAGGACAATGGTAAGATGTGTGGATAAGTTTAGGATAATAGTAATTTGGATTTATAATTGTAGAACTTGATGAGAAATATTTATCTAACCTACCCTTAAATCTCATCATAATAACAAGAATCTAGTATTCAGTTAGATTTTACTATGGAGCATTTTAGTCTTTTTAAGTTTCATCATCCTTATTTGACTGTTTTGCTATTATTATTATTATTATTATTATTATTATTATTATTATTATTATTATTGCATATTTAACACCAAGTTAGTGAATAGATTTTGATAAAAAATCAAATAAAATGAAACGAAGTGGAACAATACAAATAGACTACTAAACAGGAGCAAAACCATAAAAAAATCGATCGCTTGAAACAATTTATTTCCAAGTGTTCTGTATACCTTATCCAGTTGGTTTGTTTCATTTTGTACTATTAGAATAAATGCAAATATAAGACCCATAAAATGTAATATAAGTAAGTAACAGACTATAAATATATACCCTACCACACTCGTTCGGTAAATATTTATGTATGTATAGGTATATAAGTGTACACTTAAAAATAAATATTTTCAATTCATATCAATGACAAATAAGAACTTTCGTCTAAATTTGAACGAATAGTTTCACAATATATCAATGACTTTGTGTTTGTTTAGTTTTCATTATTATTCAGTGTCCTGACTTATTTGATTATAATATCATGAGACTCTGGAGAATTAGTCGTCTGTTTCCTTCCTTTTTTTTCTATTTTCCTTATTTTTTACTGTGCTTCAAATTGTAATTTTTTTTAATTATGAAGTGGCTAAAAATTTTTTATTCTTCTTTTACCATCACAGTTTTTTTAATCTCGTTTTTCATTCTTTTCGCCTTTTTCTTCTTCCTTCTTTCACACTGTAGGGTGTTTTCTTTTTCAAATTTTTCTTTCATTTCAAATAAACTTATATAATAAGATGTGACTTTTGTAAAATAGATTCTTTAGTAGAGAAACAATGTGTGAGTGTTCATTTTTATGTCTTCCTTTAAATATATAAAAATTTATTGATGAAAGCAAATGAAAAAGAAATAGTACCAATGTGTTATTATTTCCGTTTGTATTTCCGTATTTTCTTTTTCTGATGTAAGTCATTTTCAAGAAAAATTGAAACTCTTTCTTGTTTGGCTTAAATTATATTGCTTAATATTTAAATAAATAATCTATAAAAATAATAAAACACAATGGGGTCTTGGAATTTTTTTTCAAAATAAATAAAGTTTCATCGAATTTTTGAAATTTTTGTCCATAGTAACAAATGAAATCAGTAGAAAATGTTTTATGAATTAAGTATAACAAGATCTAATCAATTGTAGGATGAAATGGCCATTCAGTGCTACCAAGTTTTCCATAGTGGTCTAGATTCAATTAACTCATGAATTCAACTATAATATACTCAAAACACATCTGTAATTGTAGATTTATTAATTCAGTGATAATTTCTTTTTATAATATGATAATTAAACATATCATGTTCTATTCATTCTTTCAAAATTTCTAAAGAAGTAAGGTCAATTCGTGGAACTTTGGAGTATAAATGTGCCATCTTAAACACTGATTTCTGTGTGGATATAAAACACTTGTTATAACTATATAAGGCATGTAAATTAGATTGCTTTAAGAATGACTGTAAAAACTATTATAAACTCTTTATATTATACAAGGTAAATCCAACTTAAAGTACTGTCTCTGGTAAACTCGCTTGATCTTTAGTGTATAGGTTGTAATTCAACAATTTTAAACTCATTGAAATTTTGTAATAATTTTATTAACAATGGTTGAAGAGGTATAAATCATCTGGTGTGATTTACACTGTACAGTTTGCTACTAATAATTACAAGTTCGTATCAGAAGGGGTTTTGTGAAGATCACAGTAATTTCAATAGTTGGGATCATAAGTCCATTGAAGCTAGACCACCATGAAAAACCTGGAAGCACTGGGCGGCCGTTTTGGCCTATTATGGGACCCCTCAGCAGTGCGTATCCACGATCTTGCTCGCAGGATTCGAACCCAGGACCTTCTGGTACTAATCAATATATGCTCACTAGTGACTGGCTTCAAGAGATATATCCTGGAGTTCTAGTGAGAAGCAGTGATCACTGGAGTTCAACCGAGTCAGTTGTCAGTGAGTAACGCACTGATGACAATGGTAGATATGTCGCTAGATTTAGTGGGTCAGTTGAAGTTAGACATTAATATTGTTGAATGTTGGCTGGCTCAGTGGTCTAGTGGTTAGGCGCTCGCTCGCGAGGTTGACAGGCCCTGGGTACGAATCCCGCAAGGCGGGGTCATGGGTGAGCACGGATGGCCAGCACCACAATAGGACAAAACGGCCGTTCAGTGTTTCCAGGTTTTCCATGGTGGTCTAGCTTCAATTGACTCATGATCTCTACTATTGAAATTACAAGTTTTCTGAGTATTCTTGAGTAAAATTATGCTAAAATCACTGTGTACTAAAATCTTAATAAGACGATCTATTTGTTAGATATGTAATGCATTTACAAACTATATTTAGTTAGAAAAATTCAATAATTTATAATTATTTTTAATTGGTAAATCTAAGTAATTTTAATGAACATAATAGTGAATGTTGTATGGATTTTGAAACGTGAAGATTAGCAATTGAATTATGCACATCAAGCTAAAAGGTTAGATTATTTTATTTATATTTTAACTTGGCTACAAATAAAATATTTTGATAAACCGAAAATAATAAACTAATTTATGAACATGAATGTTTTTTTTTACTGCGTGCAAAGATTTTTGCTACCATCGGAAATGGTTAACTCCAGTCTGTATATGATGTTAGTGACAATTTTTTTCAGTAAAATAAAGGGAACTATTTGAGAACATAGAAATATTAAAGCTTTTAACTCTGATTTGTGGGTCACTGAATGTTCACGTTAAAATGTTAGTATAAACTCGAAGTATATAGTAATAATAATAACAGTAATAATAATAGTGAATAAAACCGGTAAGTTACAATATAACTTAGCAGTCTTACATTTTATGTGATATTTATAAGTTCCAAAGGAAATTATAGATGAAAATAAAAATAAACGACTTTAAAAGATTAATGGCCAGTTATTGAATATAATTCAGTAAGTAGTAAATTATGAGTTCATGAGCTTAATACAATAGAATAGTGTTTGTGTAAATCTGGTAACTGTTACTCAATAATATAGTATTTAATGACTTCATTGTAAGGATCGAGATTTTTCGAAGACTTCAATAAGCATAAAGATGATCCAATGGTTATTTTATTTTTCATGATTGACTTTTTTGGTTACATATAACATAAAAAATCATATAAATTCATAAATATTAAAGAAATTAATTTAAAAACGTTTTGTTTAAGAAATAACTTACCAGTAATAGCATGAATATCTGGAATACGCTGGGCTGATAAATCCACTAATTGTATAATATCCCTAATAGCTTTAGCATCTTCATGAACTATAGCTTTCAGTGTAGACTTTGTAACGCGATTAAATAATTCACGTACTTGTAATTTCATCCATACAGAACCAGCTAAACGATAAACACCAACAACGTCTGATCCACGTTTGTCAATTTCTTCAACACATTTCTTAATAAATAATGGTATAAACATGTAATCAGATGTATTTTGATAAACTAATTGTTTTGGGGAATACAATTCAGTAATTTGGCATATAACACGTTCACGCTCAATCAATTCATCGATCGATACACCAAATAACAATCGATCAGCACTAGTTGAGCTCAACGCACTTGTGCTTAACAAATGTTGATTACGATGAAATAATTTTTCCAATGGTATATGTGCAAGTTCCAGGTATAATACACCTCTTGGTTCAAGCTGTAGGGCAATTTTATAAACATTTTTGGGTGAAATTGATACAGAAGGGCTGAGAATAAGTTCACTTGTTGAAGTATGGGATGTTGATGCTATATTACTTGATGTTAATTTACCAAGCAAATTTTTCAAATCAATTCCGCCATAAAAGCATAAACGATGCTTGGTACGTGGGTCCCACTGATAAAGTAAGACAGCTAAAAATCTATTATCTTCCATATCAAGTTCAAATACCTCATTCCATTCAAAATAACTTGTACTAGTACGTATCATGGAACGCGCCTTACGTACAGAGTCCATTTCGATGACACAGTAAAGATCTCTGACAATAATGTGTGTAGAATTTAAACCTTTGCCTGCAATAACATGCAAAATGAATAATCCATTAAGGTTACCAGATTTTGGGATACGATCAACATTTTGCAAATTCACTGTTCTAGACGGAGTATTCGAATTATCCCAATCGTATGTAGAAGATTGTGAAGGATGACTTGGAGCCTGAGAGGTCGATAAACATCTTTCACTTGGTAAAGTTAGAAAATCTCCAAAGCGATCTGATAACGTTTTTGACGTTCCAAAAGAATGTGAATCTAAATTTGAATAAGCCGTTTCGAATTCAGCTTGACCAGAAAGACTAGTTGGTGCAATAGAAGTTCGAGTATTTCCAAGAATTTGGGCAGGAAGTTTAGAAGACATATACAGGGATTCATTTGGAAAAGATGATCTGGTTCCAGAAGGATCTATATAAATATTTTATACAAAATAAGCCTTTAGAATATTTCAAGGTACAACTACGTTATCGAATCAAGTTACTCTATGTACTATTAAAAATCACGATTATTGTTTAATATATGGATTATTTCAAAGACAGATTTGACATAAATTACAATAAAAAAATCAGTCATAAATTGAAGTGAAACTTATGTCTTTAATTCTTATTTAACCAACCTTTAATAGGTTGCTGAATTAGTAGTCCATCACACAGTTGCTTTATTTTATAACCTTTTCTTTGTTAACTGAATGAAACTAAGCTAGCAATACCATACTCAGTTATTTAAACTGTTTAATAATCTGGGTTACAAAGTAAAGATGTTCATCGCTCATTTATTGAACTGCTTGACATATCAAAAAGTTCATCTAGACAGAAAAATAAGTAAAAAATAGAAATAACTACATAAACCAGTCACCCAACAATAGTTGTTAGGTTATTTATTGGTAAGTCTATTCTAATAATTCTATATCCAATATAAATATGGTTAGCACATATCTCCAACTACATAATCAGTTATTCAATAATTATACATTCTAACTATTTTTTTTATAAACAATAAATGCTCAAAACAAACAAGAATGAAAAGGAAAAAGTCACCTGGATTAATTTGTGAATAAAATGATAATATTGAATGAAAAACAATGTTTACAAGATGATTTTATAATCTATCTATCTATATAGATCTCTCTCTCTTTTGTTTCCACTAATTTTCTCTCATATTACCAAGTTTATTTAGTTTTTGTCAACTATTTTTGTTTCAAAACAAAGAACCAAAAAATATATTTATATTCCATGGAAAAACTCATCCATCATTTGATTTTTATTGATTAGAAATTATTCGGTTAAAGGAAAAGAGATGAAAATCGTGAGTGAAGTTAAAAAATAAGAGACTTTTTTATTGTTGTTGAGAAAATCAATTCCAAAAAAAGAGAGATCTATATAAGATAGTATATGGGTTACTATCCCTAAATGATGAATTGAAATTAAATGAATATAGCGTATGGATAAATAAGTCAATTACTAAACTTATATTTGTTTGATAAATAAATAACGAATCAGTCGAGTTAGTAAACATTTACAAGAAATTATGTAATTGTTTAATGAGACTTGGAAAACCAAGTGAAAATACATACATACAATTCTTCAAATGTATAAACACTTGAATGTATTGTAAAACACAAGTAACAGACATACACACATGAATGTATATTCATATTTGTTTGAGATTTGGAGTCTTAGTTTCAGAGAAATTAGACATCATATTTAGTGAAGATAATAGAGATAAAACTTTGGATGAGTAAAATTACATAGTTCTAACGTTACTCTCATTAATCTAATCTGAACATCCATATTACTCATAAGTTGTATAATCTGATAGAACTATACAAATACATTCAGTGAAAGCTTTACAAATATATTTTTACATTTAAAATACAAGTATTCGTATTGTCTAATAAACACACATTATGTTCGTAACCATTTTCATTCTAATAATGATAAGCATAATTACCAGTTGTACACCTGGAAGGATCACAATCGCTGCTAGTCCTAGGTACCCTGATATCTACTCAGCTTGTACACTCATGATGAGTCAGAAACAAGAATAGCTATTTCATGCTCCATATCTATCAATGTATCCCCATATAATCTGGCATTGATTTTAGAGTTTTATTATAAACCACGTGCTGGGCATGATATATTTGCTGTTATATAATCCAGGGCTCGTTTTTCGCCTCATTGAGGACTGGTTAGCTAGATGTGACTTCAGCTCAATGTTGATGTTCACTTTGTGACTTAGATCAACAACTTATTTCTACGAACACCAACACGTTGTCAACCAAGCTAATGAGTCGAGTGATAAGATATAAATGTATGAGTTGTAGTTATCTCGCTGCCGACTGAAATTGAGTAATCTCAGAGTAAACATCAATATTAGAATCTCGGTAGATTTTGCTTACGAGTTTCAAAAGATGTTAAGCGTTCGTATTGAATACGACTGTCAACCATGATCCAAATAAACAAAAACAGATATTATGGAAGTCCTAATTTGAAATCCTAAAGGCAAGGAAATTAAGGAAAAGATGAAGACCAAGGAACACATTTTGTTAGGAATCGGAAGCAGATATCAAGAGAATGAGTGTCAGTAGGAAACAAGTGTAAAGTAGATCCCACTACAGAATTGATTGGGGAATCGTGTTCGGCTGTATATGCTCCTTCACGAGGGATAGCGAACGTAAGTAAACTGATGTGAAGTAAACGTTAAATTTTCTATTGGTGAATTAAATCTACTTGTTAAGCCAAGGAACATAACACAAACTTATTCAACTTGAAAAATCTTTTTAGCATGTAAATTCATGAAATTGAACTTAAAATTTTCCGGTTTACTGTAGATAAATTTTCACATAAGCACTTGTTTCTAATCATACTCTTATTCGTGCACAGATTAGAGATGACATTTAAACAAAGTTCTAGTTTGTAGAAAAGCTCCGTAGAATAATTAGTAAAAATTAAGCTATATCATAAATTGACTGAAGTCAAAAATATGGAACAGTAGATTCCTGTCGAGTGGCCTAGAAGTAATTTCATTGTTTTGATAACAAAATGTTTTAGATGTAACCCCATATGAGCTTGTGAGTGCATAATGTTAATGAGTCTCAAGCTAAGTATATATTATCTTCCAATCTTTAACATTTCGTTCAATGATGTTAGTAATGGATGAAAACTTCGATATCTACAAAGATACACTAAATCGTACATACATTTTGATAACGATAGCTTGATTCAAAGTTTAAAATAACTGGCATTCACCAACTTCCTTCACAATGATGAAAAATTATTTAATAACAACATTTAAGTTCTCTTATACGAATTCAACAACCAGCTTCTGCGCTCGCTGGAGGGACTTAAAGTTTGAGAATACGTTGAGTTATAAGCTAAAACTATTTACCACTGACATTACATGCAGGAAACATGCTACTTAAATACTTTATTCAGACTACTGTATATACCTCATAAAAAGACTTACTGTATCTGGCATCTATAAAATGTAACTTTTAGTGATAAATCTATTTTAGAAAAGTATTCAAAACTAAGAAGTATATGACATTTGTGTTGTTTGAATAAATTCTGTATAACACAATTAGTGGAGATTTATTTTTATGATCAGAAGATTACGTTTATATAGATTAGTTATTAAAATTAATCAGTAACAATTTTTAAGTTACAATAATCGCGTTTAACATGAATGTCAACTATGTGAGTGAATTATATAAAGTTGGATGAAAGTCCATTATTGCACTTCAATTTAACGCTTTAAGACATTGATATTATTTCCTTTATTGATTACCGATAAATCTTATAAAATGTTCCGTGAATAAACCCAAAATATTTAGTATTACTTAACTATAATATAACATCTATCTTTCCTGATTAATATTTAATTTGTGACCAACGCAACTAAATTTCTCAATAATTAGATTATTCAGATTCATATTTATTTACTCATCAGTTCGTTCAGTCAATCATAAACAATTATATATATTTACATACCATGACTTTATTTCTTAGTAGAATTAGAAAAATCTGAATTACTAGGAAAAGTGTCTAAAAAGAAACTAATAAAGATTTCCTTTTGTTTATGTTTAGCGGAAGAAATAAAAGATTGACAGTTATAAAAATGAATGTAAAACTCTAATGCATATCACTCAAGATTCTCTTACTTAAAATACTTTTTTAAAAAAAGATTTATAAATAAACAAGCTCTTTTGCCTTCCTAGTATTTTATACTTTTACTTTCCGTACTGCCATCGAAATGAATAAAAAAAACTGACGTTAAATTTAATCATACTCATGCATAATTTAGTAATCAATACATTTTCATAGTCTACATCATTGACTGATTGTATCTCGACAACTATTTAAAACCAAAAACCAATGGATTGCTGCTTAGTCCTAGTAGTCAATATGTGTTGAACTGAACTGAAAAGTGGGCATGAAAATTCAACATTATAAGTTTTTTTTAGTTGATTTTAAGATAAATACTTAGCCAACAGAATTTTTCAAAATAGTAAGTTAATAATTAGACTGACTTATAAATAAATGGGAAAAATCGGAATAATATAATTTTAATGTTCTTACAAGAATGTCAAAACTTAATGTAATCTTACATAATAGTCGAATTACTGAGTTGATTAAAGCTAAACCACCATAGAAAACCTGGAAGCACTGGATGGTTGTTTCGTGCTGGTATGGGACTCTTCAGTAATGCTATTACTACAATCTCTGCAAAAAACCCCAATCTGATAGTAATCTTATATATTGGATGACATGTTTACACGATATCGGTTTACATTAGATTTAGAAATCAAAGAATCTAAAATATTTATGCCTTTATTAACCACTAATTATTGGAATAAATTTATTCAGTACCGTAAGTGCTAACTTAGGTTTCGTTACATTTGTATATGTATACAGTGATAATGACAAATATCCTTAGATTCATATGACTTACAGTACATGTATGTAAATTGAAATACATTCACTGAGTAAGCTATTAGGTGTGTATTAAAGTACCATGTATTGAATACTGATTTATAAAGATTACTTTATGTAAAGGAGATTTAATTAGAACAAGTATTAGTCAATCACTATGATTATGCCTCCCACCCTAGTTGCATCATACGATGATGACATCAATCAACTTTAATTATTAAATAGGAAAGTAAAAGATTTTTTATCAATTCACTTTGCTAATTACAGCTAATTGAAAAGATACTACCTTTATACATTAACTCAAAAACTTTATTATTCTTTTCTGTATATTAGTTTTACTAAGTTCAAATTTTATACAAACACAGATTTGTAATACAAAAAAATAAAACTCGCCGTTCATATTTTAACAGTTGACGATTTACAAAAAAGACATATACAGTTATATTTGCTGTTGTTATGGCAACAACGATTGGTTAC